TACCATCATACCCACAAGGAGCGGCACAGCCCTGGGTCCAGGGAGGAAGGGTCCAGGGAGGAAGATGCCTGAGCTAACATGTGAAAACTTAAGTACTAGTTAGCACACTGTTCTGGGTTAGGTTTGATGCGGGTGGTGGAGAAGATGGAGAGGGAGAGGGAGAGACAGAGCAGACACCTAGAAAGGCTCCACAACTGCAGGACTGCACAGGCCACGTGGCCAGGTCAGCACTGGGCAGGGCCAAAGAGCCTGGCAGATGAGGGGCGTGGAGACGTGTGGAGAGGCTGGGGCAGTGGGCCCTGTGGGCCGGGCCAGGCCTGGCCTTCAATCCAGGACAGTGTGGCCACCAAGGGGTCTCAGCCAGGAATGGTGTGGACAGGCTTACCTCAGTCGCACATGGTGACAACAAGGATTCTTAGTGAACAAGTACTCGGAAACTCTCCCTATTCCCCAAATTTTAATTTAACCTATCTAAACAGAAATTCTGAAAGGCAAGTATGTCATAATGGGAACAGAGGCAATAAACCCCCCCACACATACTCCTCACACTCCCATTCCTAAAGGAAAACACACATGTGCAAGTTGAGGCCTTTAGATAATTAAGCAAGACTAGAAATTATGCAAATGAAATATATTCAAGTATGCAATGAATTTTAAATGACAGAACTACAGAAAACTTAATTGCTGTATTAGCATGCTATAAAAACACTAATCATAAATGTAAAACAATGCATGCATATACTTATATCGAAATTGTCCCGGTGACACAAACATCAAATCGCTCCCTCCCACTGGGTTCACGTGCAAAACCACCTCAATATATCGGAAGAAGAAAAGATTATACCAGAGTTTCAGTTCTCATTTTTAACCATTCTACTCACTAACATAAACGTTAAATGTTTAATTAGTTTTTGTTCGATGTTTCTGAAATAGTTATTTAAAAAAGCCAAAAATACGATTTTCTATAGTGGTAATTTTTAAAAAGCTACTGCCATCCCCACATGGCATTTAAATGTTAAACAGCATTAATGGTGGTTTAATGATATGTTCCAGACTAGAGTATATGTTAGTTCTCCATAAACAACGAGAGCCAATTTCTCATCTTTCATCACTAAAGGAGCATTGCCCACTCATCAGTTAAGAACAGCACTCCCCGACAAGCCCCCAAATCATGTTAATAACACATGAGGAACATGGGAGGGGGGGTCATTAGTTTGCCAGGTCTAAACAGATTCACATTCAAGAACAGCTTCGGCTGTCTTTTTAAACTGGACAAAATGGTAAGTTCTTCTCAATCCTGAGTTCGACTCTGAAGCTCTTGATCCTGGAAGCAGAGTGGGCTGGGACAAACCACCCCATCCCACTCACTTAGCCAAGCCCTCTGGGACAACACGCTCTTGGTAAGTCAAGCCCAACCCGCTCTCCACCCAGGCACCTCAGCCCAGGTGTGCGGACAGCTGGCTCATGCATGCCCTGCCCTGCGTGGAGAGAGTATCCTAGAGCAGCAACCCCCAACCCTCAGCACACCTGAGAACCCCTCAGAAACCCAGTTCCCAAGCTCCCCAGGGGACACTAATGTGTACCCAGAATGCAAATCCACAGGTCAAGAGGGCAGCTGAAGCTGCCACGCCCTTACTGCCCTCTCTCCTTGGGGGCTTGGGGTAGGCACTCAGCGGACCACAAGCTTCGCAGCAGGCTGGAGTCGGTACAAAGGCCGATGCCGCAGCCCAGCCCAAGACTCCAAGCTGCTTTGTGGGCGTGGACATCAGGATCCCCAAGAGCTCCCCAGGAGAGGGGACTGTGAAGTTGGGCTGAGACTCTCAGATTCAGAGAATGACTGTGAGGCAGCCTAACAGACCCCTTCTCTCTGAAGTGCCTGCTGGGTTCTCTCCCCTCCATTCTCCAAGATATCCTTGTGACCTCAGCCCTTGCAAAGGGCCTGGCCGAGGGCAGACAAGTGAAAAACACTTCTGAATCAGGGATGAGTGGTTAGCATCCATCACTGTGCTCCCCAAAATCTTCGACTGCAGAAAACAGGCCTGGGCTGATTGTGCCTGGGAGTAACTAGAGGGCAAGGAGAGAGGCTCATAAGCAAGCTCCTGGGTCAGGGATGAGAGGACGAGCGATGACGGCCCCCACAACTCTGACCTCCTTCCACCTGTCCACGCCCACATGTGACTAGCACCCTGAAAACGGTGGGTTCGCTTCCTCTGGATGCCCAGAGCCCACCGTTACCTGCCGAGGCACACACCACCATGCAGAAAGACTGTGCATGGGCTCCACTCCGCGGGCAGATGGGGAGCCCTTGAAGGCTGGAATGACATCCCTGCTCGTCAGCACAGGCCCGGAGTGGGATGAAGGCCTAGGAGTCCTAAATGTGCGTCCTGAAGGATGAATGAGTAGGGCTCCAGAGACCCAACACTGGCTTCCCACTCCAGCTGCCTGGGTCCCTCCTGTCCCCCCGCACAGCCTTGGATCCCGCCTCCCCTTCCCATTTCCCCTGGCCTCGCTCTAATCCACCTCCAAGAGGTACTTGGGTGCAGTCTCCTCTCACGCCCACCACCACTCTTCCTCCTCTAGCCAGACACTGGTCAAGAATGACTCTGGACCCAAGCTACCTGCTCATGCGCTCAGAGACCACTGCTTCCACGGACTCTCTCTCATGTGCATGGTCTGGCACACAGCAAGCACTCAAAACATGCTTGTGAAACAAAGGAAAAAGCAAAGGAAGAGGCCCAGGGTGAGCAGGGCACTGGGGCTCAGACTCTCGAGAGAACGGGCTCCTTTCCGTGCAGTAAGACCCAGGTCTGTCCTGGGGGAAGACAGAGAAAGGCAGGGTCTTCGTCTCTTTTCTGCAGGCTTGTGAGGGACGGGGACTTGGTCGTTTTCCCTTCCCTACTATTTCCCAGCACCAAACACAGTGCCGGAGACACAGAAAGTGCTCAATAAATACTGATTGAATGAATGCGTGAACCAACCAAAGGATCTTTCAAGAGGCTCCTGGCTTTACTCTTCCCAAAACACCCTCATCACTCCCTCACTTGTATCCTTCAGGTTGCAGCTCAAGCAATGCACTCGGGGCCCTGAGCACTTGGCCTTCCCCCAGTCGCCAGCTAGCCTGGCTTCCCATCCCCTCCCTCACTCAAGTGGTCAACCTGCCGCTTCTTGGGGAGCCAGCTCCTCTCAGCCTTGGGTCCTGCTCACCCTACCCCCACTGCATCCCCCAGGTCATATGACCACCCCATCTCCCTCACCCAGGGAACACTGGCACACCCTTTGAGATGCCACAGAAGCATCCCACCTTCACTAAGAAGCCCTGCCTGACATCCATGTGAGTCTACACCGCCCTGGAACTCCCCCCCCCCCCCCTTTTTGGGGTCCCCTTTTTGGAAGGATGGGCTTTGCTCACTGACCCTGACACGTTTTTTTTTTTTTTACTTATTCGTCAACCCAAGCCCAAGAGAGGGCCAGAACTGTCACATTCATCTCTGTCCCTCTCTCCCTCTTTCCACTTTCCATCCCTGTAGACCAAGGAGTGAATCTCCCGGCCAGGAGGCCTGTCCTTGGCACTCACAGTGCTGCACTCCTCTCGCCCTCGGCTCCCGCTTGCATCCTGGACAGCCCACAAGTATGTGGCCCCTAGACTGCACTGCACCCCTGACCAAACCCTCCTAATGGCTGTGTGGGTGTCTAATTCATCTCTGACTCCGGGCAAAGGGCCCCTGTAATCAGTGATGGTTAAATGAACAAATGTGCCTGAGAAGGCGGTTCCCAGTATTCCTGGCTACAGACTCTGCCCACCTCCACCCTCCCTGCCATTCAAACCAACAAAGGGAGCTTCTGTCACCCTCGCTTCTGCTCCTCTGTGTGCTGAGTCCCCAGACCCCCCATTTTCTGAGTCAACCCCTGTGCAGCACATACAGGATATTTAAACCATGACCACAGGGACTGAGAACTAAAGGGAATAGAATACGACAAAACAATTCATGTAAAGACTTTCCACCCAGATGCAGTACACCCTTAATAAAGACAAAATCCAATAAAGGGTCTTAAAGATGTTTTCATCAAAACTTCCTACAATTCAATCTGAAAAGCTTGTAACCTATCTTAGAGGACATTTGGAAAACTGGATACAACCACTTAAAATAAAAATCCAAACAAAAACATCAGCAATTGCAGCAGGTCTAATTTTAATTGCAAGAGAATATTTAATTAATCAATATTCACTGTTCAGAGCTGCATCTGCAAGTAGGATTGCGAGGTACTGAGCTGCAAATTTATTGACTCATTAGCAAGAAAGAGTCTTTTAAATACTGAAAGTCAGACCCAACTTAGAGTAAACACTAAGAGTTCCCTATTGACTTAGCTCCAAAAATAATAATAATAAAAGGAAAAGAGAAGAAGCTGTCTATAAACTATCCTGAAACTTCCAGCAGGACCATGCTGAGCCCCAGGTAAGTACACGAGAAGGCACCAATAACCACCACCACCCCCCACCTTCTCCAGAGGGGCTCCCAGTCGGGCAGCATAGTTCGAGGGGTAAGGAAGCCAGAACTCCACTCTCCACAACAGAAACACAAACTACCTCTAACATCCTTTTTCCCCTCTAGCATCATTACTAATATTTAAAAAAACACCACCTTGGGCAAAACATAGTCCCTGCCACTGATCCTCAGAGTTGAATCAATCTTCTCTGCTGGAATCTTTCTATATCACACGTTTGAAAATATTACAAAGATTTCAAAAAATAATAAAATCAGAGAAAAAGAACACAGCTGTCATAAATTATTACTTATCCTCATTTTCTGCCAGTCTTGTCAAACGCAGATTGAAACTAAACAAAGGATGAAAAATATCACCTTAGCCCAGCAAAGGCCCCTCACTGCAACAAAGACCAGGTGCATCTGGGCACAGTTGGCGGGCCACACCTGGCCCCAACGATGGGTGCCTGTCCTCACAGGAGAAACATGGCACTGATGAGCAGGCCCAGAGAGACTTACTGAGAGCAGCTTCCACGTAATTGGACGAACTGGCTTAGGGATCCCGGACCAGCTCAACTTCCGCAATTCCTCTGTTGACAAAAAAAGAGACAAGGAAAAACAGGGTTTACAAACAGTGAGCAAACTTCCCCCAGTGCTTTAACATCTTTCGCAAGTGTTATTAGAGGCAGTGAGCCCCTTAAATGAAACCAGAATGAACCTAAGTGATAAAAATTTCAGATATTGATTCTTCTCAATATACAAGAGAAGTTACCACTCTGTCCAAAGCTAAATGTCACCTGCTTACATTTAAATCTTAGAGAGTCCATGTTTGCTAAATGCATCCCCGGTGTCCCTAGTGCCACCCTGGGACAGGTGAGGTCCAGAGGACACCAGCTTCCTTCCACCGCTCTGCCTTCCCTCTCACTTCCTTCTCTCCATTGCTCGCTCTCTCCCCCTTTCCCGTGACTCTCTCTCTCCTGAAGGCCTTTTCCCCAACTTAACATCTTAATGAGCTTTTCTTTCCCTCATCCTGTCTCACTCTCACCATTTACTGTTTAAGAATATCTACATGAGGTGGTTTTCTCCTAGAGACAAGCTTGCATTTATACAGCACTGATAAGGGTGTCACCATGTTATACACACCAAGGACAACAGAGACTTCCAGGTACACTCATACAAGCCTCCTGAAGGCAGGAGAAGGCACAGAGCGGGACGGAGGGGTAGGATAAGGGCCCTGAACGCCGTCAGACCTTCTGTGTCTCCTCCAGCGTCTCAGTCACATGCCCTGAATGGCTGGAGATACATTTCAATTGTAGGTGTATCAACGCTTAGTCAATCCCACTGAAACTGAGCAATTATCTCTTTCCTTGAAGTTCGGAATCCACCATTAGGTTCTTCTAACAGCTCACAGCTAATGATTAATAATAGGAATAAAAGAAATGATTAAAGAGAAGACTTTGGTAACATAATCAACAAAATACAAAGTCCTGACTTCTAATCTTTTTCCAATTACTAAAGTCTAAGTTAAATAAGTACAGAATAATTGGGTGATGGTACGGCAATAACTTACATTTTACAGCAATCTCAGAACATATCAAATCTTCCCCAGTTCCCTGAGGATATTATGAAAAGCAAGAACCTAATATCTGCACACCAATAATGTAAGGTTTACCAATCACGTTCCCGAGCCTCTCCTACTGCAGGAGGCTGGTTTTCTGATTACAGGTTATGAGGAAGCCGAGAGAAATCTCACTTGTTAATGCTCTCTGAACTCATCTCCTCAAGGAAGAAACTCACAAAAATGGTATCCTGAATATTGCGTACGAAACAAAGTTCTGCCTTTGTGTAAGCTTTAATGTTTAAAAAGAGCTTTCATGTATAATATTTCATTTGATCCTCAAAACAGCTTGAGTGAGTTAGGGCTGTGATCCTACTGTGTAACTGAGGAAAAGTCTCAGACAGGTTAGGGGACTTGACCACGGTGGCACAGGAACTAAGGGACCGTCATCTCCCAGGGTCTTTCCACTCCACTAATTTCCACTATTAAAAAGGCTCTTTGTAACACAAACAACTCTTACTTATGAATATAGACAAAAACGTCCAAAATAAAATTTTAGCAGATCAAAACACAACCAGGTATTCAAAGAATAGTGCATGCAAGTAGGATCCACTCCAGGAATGAAAGCATGGTTCCAAATCACGAAATCTGTAACTTTATTAAGATGGGTTGATGGGAAAAGCCACAGGACCATTCTGATGGGTGTCAGGCGTAGACTCCACCCAGGGCCATTCGCCCCTTCCACCTTTCTAGCAGAATTCCAGTTGTGCACATACCCCCCAGCAGCCCACGGGAAACTGAACCCACCCTGCCCTGCAAAGGTGGGCCTGATTGGTCGGTACAGAGCTAAGCCACACCCTCCTCACCAGGACTGATTCCGCAATGGGCCTGGGACCCTACTTGAGCCACTGAGAAGGAGAGAGCAAACTAGCTGGGGCTTCCGAGAAAGCTCCTCCTTGCTCCGGGGAAATCTTCGGGAGGCAGCCCTCCACTGCTTCCTCTGAGGGTTGCCCGGGTCAGATGTGAGGCTGGGGACTGCAGCAGCCCCCCAGCGCCCACCCAGCCTGAGGAGGAAGCCAACAAAGAGAGGCAGGTAGAACTGGGAGACAGGAGGAACCAGGGTTCTGAGCTCAGCAAGACAGCCAGATACAAGGACACTCAAAAATCAATAGCTTTTCTCTACGGGCAAAAAAATAAATAAAAATTGTCACAGGCATAAGTTTCACAACAAATGAACAATACCTCATGAAGAAAACTGTAAGGTTTTACTTAAAGACATAAAGAAACAGAGAAAAACACCAAGCTCACTGAAGTGAACGAGCATTTAAGGAGCACTCCCTCTGGGTAGGCACTGGGCTGGCAGGAGGGGACCACAAAAGGGAACAACAGCACACACAGCCCTGTGCTCTGAGAACTCACCCTCCACTCCAACGACATGCGAATGTAAAATTACAACTGGACCCAGTGCTCCGAAGAACCAGCAGAGCGCAGTGAAGTTGTAAATGGCGAATTCCTACCTAGCTAAGGAAGGTTTCCTCAAGGAAATGAGACTGAGATAAGAGCTACACATGAGGAGGAATTAATAGTGTAAAGAGGGAGCCTGGAAGGGGGGTATTCTAAGCCTAGGGAAGAGCTCACGCAAAGCCTTGACCACAGTGGGGAGAACAGAAGAGAGGGGCCAGCATCACAAGGAGACCACTTAATGGGCTACTTACGAACGCCAGTGTAGACGTAATGGTGGCTAGAATGGTGACAGTAAAAGAAAAGCAATGACCAAACAGATATTTAGGACATAAAAGTAAGGAGACTGAAATGATATATTCCCGGATCTAAGACTCAAAATTATAATGCTGTCAATTATCACTTTCAAAAATCTTTAAGTTCAATGCAAAGCCAATCAAAATTCCAATGGGATATACTGCATGTGTTCTGAAACTTCCTAAGTTCATCTAGAAGAGCAAATGCACAAGAACAGCCAACAAAATTTCCAAAAAGAATAATGCAAAGGGACTTGCATGAATAGAGAAGAAATATGTGACAGAGCTACAAAATTAAGACTACAGGGTTTTAAGAGCAAGACTAAGACAAAGAGATCAGTGTCACAGAATGAAGCACAATGAATGGTTCAAATCAAACCTGTATTTAGTTGTGATAAACATAGCATGTCAAATCAGGGGGTTAGTCAACCAATGATGTCCATAAAACACAGTATCTGTCTTTAGAAAAGGAAATTAGACCATGTATCGTACCACACAAACATATTTTTAGATAATTAAAGATCCGAAGATCTAAATAGTGTATGTGAGAGATAGAGAAAAGAAAGGAAAAAAATACCACAGGAAAATACAGGAGAATATTTTGCTATCTTCAGGTGGGAGAAGGGCCTTCCTAAGGAAGACACAAATCTCAGAAACTATAAATAAGAAGATTCACAATTATAAAGAAGTTTGAAGTGACTGAACAGTGAAAGACACTATAATGTTAAAGCAACAAATGACTTGAAAAATACATGCACCATATAATATAAAAAGGTTAACATCACTCATATATAAAGAGCACAAACAAAAGAGTGAACAATTTACAGAAAAATGGAAAATTCACAGGAGAGGAAACAGAAATGGTTAATAAACATACAAAAAGAGACACATAACCTCAATGGTGATCAAAGAACTATAAATTAAAACAAGAAATTTGTCACAAATGAGTTAGATAAAATCTTAAATGCATAATACCCAATACCGATGGGACTCTGAGTAAACAGCCACTCTCTGACAATTTGGTAAGAGTGTATTCGGTACAAGTTTTTTGTTGGTCAAATTTTAAAGGTAGTAACATCTGAGCAGCAACTTCACTGGAAGAACCCTATTCTACAGGGATAACCGCAAAGGCCTGCAAGGATTGTGCACAAGGATGTGCATTTGAGTACTGTCATGTTAACAAAAAATTAGAAACAATCAAAACGTCCATTCTAGGGAGATAATTAAAGACAGTTACATCCATACACTGGACTACAATACTGCCATGGAAAAGAATGGATACCTTTTAGGTGGATATGGAATAAATTTATCTAAATTATTAAGTGAAAAGGGGACAATACAAAGCAGAGCGTAGAGGCACTGAGTGTTTCTGAGAGCATACACAGGGATCTGGAAGCACAGCCAGACTCAGGGGAGGGGTTCAGAGAATGAGCTCAAGGATGGCGGAAGACAGTTTTTACTGAGTACCCCACTGTGTTTCTACGAAGCCACTAAGGTCCTGTGGTTTTCCACCTTTATCTTCAGCTTTTCAAAACCCACCCCACCTTCCAGCCCCAACTCAAGGTCTGCCAGCTTTATGAAGCATTCCTGACAACTCCAGTCCTCACTTACTTCCTCTCCTGTGATTGCCTGTAACACTTGGAGCCAATCCAGCTAAGAGCCCACCCTCGGGGCAGTGTCATTAGCATCAGTCTCATTTCCTAGAAGCGATTTAAAAGATTGCATGATTCTGCTTCTTGTCTGTCCTAATGGAGCGCCTTGCAATTGCTTGGTGTTAAGTGCCGGGGGAAAAGAAAGTCCAATTCTTCCCTCCACCCCTTTAGAGATTGGTTTTTTTAAGGGGGTGAAGGAGATCATATTTTTTAATTGAAATATAATTTATAACAATAAAAAATGACTTAGCCCCCCAAACAAGATGCAGAACATTTACATCACCCTTTTCTAATAATTCTTTGCCCCCACTCTGAGCTAGCCCCTTCTGAAAGCTATCACCATAGATTAGCTCTGCCTGTTATTAAAATTCACATCACTAGTACAAACAGGATGTAATCTCTTGTACTTCTTTGCTCATGTCTGTCAGAGTCACACATGTTGCACGTACCAGCAGTTCATTCTTTACAAGCAGAAACAGTATTCTACTCTACGAACATACCACAATCTGCTTACATATTCACCTGTGTGTAGACATCTGGGTTACTTACAAGCTTTCACTACTATGAAAGAGTTGCTAAGAATATCCTTGTGGCTATGTGTTTCGTGGAGTATGTTTTCATTT